CGTCCTGGACGATCCTGGAGCAGATTTTGATATTACATTCCCTACTTGTCTACTCTCACTATTCAAGACAAGCATGTATGGCCGATCCTGAGGTCGACCACTGTTTTGCCTGCAACGCGCAAGGAGAAATCGACATTCTCCGTTCTCCTTTCTACGAGCCGGATTGGGAGTACGATGACTCGGTGGAAAGCTACGTCAACTGCATCATTTGCTGCCTTGCCGAGACGATTGAGATTCAACAACCCAGAGCGCCTTGGCTTCTCATTGGACGAGCCACTCTTCCTCCACCGCCGGTTATCTCACCATCAACGAAGGTCTTCGGCGCCATCTTCCTAGTGGTAATCTCCTTCCTCGTGTTGTTCGTCTTTCTCCGCTAAAGCCTAAGAGTGATTGAGTGAGAAGGTACTCAAGGTGAACCTCTCGTTATTAAGTGGTGGATTTTGTTATGTGCATGAAGCATTTACTTTCATATTTGGATTTTGATTGAATTGTCTAGTTAATCTCAAGAGCGCTTCTTTGCCTAAGCAAGTTGAATAGTTTGAATTCTGCAATCTTCCTTTATTGCAATCAATAATTTTATAATAGCAAGTTTTGATCAATTATTCATTTAATTTCTCAAGTAACTCCTAGTAGTTTCACATCAGTTAATTTGGTCATAACACGACACTATTAATAGAGTTTTACATGGATAAAAAACAAAAAGAAATTAATAACGCCTAAGTGAGAAAGGAGGGGAAATTACCACAGTAGAAATTATATTAAAAAAAATCAGCTCTTCCAAGAGCCTCGGAATCACAAATCTGTGAATTCCGGCGCCAAGTTATAAATTTGAATGTTAAGGATGGCTCAACCATTATAACGACCTTTGCTATTTGCCAGCTGCACTATCCCTACTTTTCGCCCAAAGGAAGTCAACCATCAATTAAATCTCATAAATTCCTTCCATAGGATATAGAAATTAGGAAATGTTTCTTTCTTATTCAGCATCCTTAACACTCCCCCTCAAGCTGATTTGTGCATATCCAATAAATCAAACTTGTTGATCAATTTTTCAAATAGGGGTCTAGGCAATTCTTCGGTCACAATGCTAGTAGTCTAATTGAAGGAGAAAATATATTATACAATATATCTCTGTTTTGGATTCTCTTTAATGAAGTTTCAATCTATCTCCACATATGGTTCATTCATGATGGATAAGATTATGAGTTATACGGATGGCAACTTTATTGTCATCATGTAATATCATAAGAGCGTTGATTGTTACTTGAATTTATTCTAGGAGTAGTTTAAGCCAAATTAATTCATTGATCACGTTGACCAATGATCTTAGTTCTGCTTTTGTAATACTTGTCACCACATTTTATTTTTTTGCTTCTCTAGGTTACAGGATTTTCCTACACGTGTGCAATATCCATAAGTGGATCTTTAGTCTACCATAAGCCCAACATAATCATCATTAATAAAAACTTCCATAATTTTGCATTCTCCTTTCTTTACCCTTTTGGGGCTTTATTTTAGATATTTGAGAATTTCAATGGTAGCAGATTAGCAGTCATCTATTCTTTGTAAGGAGCATGCACGAACTGACTTTTTAACAGAGGCTATGCCAGATCTAGTAGTGTGAGCCAAATAGATGTTTCCCTACCAACCTTTGATATCTTCCTTTATTGACTGAAGAATTGGTGCTAATACCCCTCAATTTAATATTAGGATGAGTTGGAGTGTTAAGCAATTTGCTTCTAGTTAAGCCCATTTCTTTTAAAAGATTAAGAACATACTTTGAGAGATGGTGAGGCCATATTTGTTCCTAGAGATCTCCGTTTCTAGAGATTTCCATTCTTAGATAATTACAAACTTATCATCCTTGTGTTTGTACTTATCTTAGATAGTCACTCCTAGAGATTTCACATTCTTAAGATACCCAAGGTCTTTGATTTTAAATTCTTCTGTTAGCTTTTTTTTTTCAAGCATCTATCTCCAAATTATAATATCCTATAATGATGATATAATCAACATACATAACTAATATGTTAGACTTATCATTCTTGTATAGTAAGGTGTGGTTAGAGTGATGCTGTCTGAACCCCCGATGACTCAAAACTTTTGTGAACCTTCCAAACCAAGTTTGAGATGATTGTTTGCGCCCATAAATATATTTCTTCTATTTGTTATATGAGTTTATCTTCCTAGAGTCATTGAGGAGGATCCGTATATACTTCCCCATTTAAATCACCATCCAAAAGTATGTCCTTTAACATCTAATCGGTGAAGTGATTAGTTAAATTGAATGCCATATTGCCATTGAAAGGACTTGAATGATATTAAGTTTCGACTCTGGAACCAAAATTTCAGCATAGTGGTCCCATAAGTTTGGGTGAATCCTTTTACAGATAATCGTGCTTTACATCTTTTGATGAGTCCATCGCTTTTTACATTCCATAGGGATGGCATCCTTGGGTCCTGAATTGTAATATCCAAAAGCTTAGGTAAAGATTTTTTTTATTTGAATTGTGATTTTATATTAACAGTAAAATTACTATTAAATAAACTGATAAGTACATCTTAGTATTTATATTAACTAATAGAGTAAATTAAATTAGATTATGCTTTAATTCCGAATTGTTGCTTTAAATAGTTGTGAAGTTGAGAGTGCAGTTATTCGGTGGGTCCTCTCTTATTTCCCCTTCTTTTGATTTGGATTCGCGCAAGAAAACAGATGGGAAGATTTGAGAAGTGTGGGTAGTTGGCGAGTGCAGCAGAGGCGGGTTAGCAACTGTAGCAAAGATCGGATGTGAAGAACTGGAGCCGTGTGATGAACTGTAGTAGGAATTGGGTGTGAGTGTGGTTTTAACGTGTGAATGAGAGGCTGTGGGTTTCGGTTCCAGCATATGAAACAGTGGGGAATTTAGAGTGGGATTTGCTGTAAAGGAATGGTATATTTTCAGTGGAGGAAGAAGAGAAGGGAGAAGAAGGAAATTAAGGGAAGAAGAAACTGAGGTTCCAGTAACAGCCGCTGAATTCCTTCAGCACTTCAACAGTCTTAGAATCCCTCTCAAGTTCCGTTTCTTCAATACCCGCAATATTGGCTCTATTCGAACTGCGTACCTTTAAGAGAATTTTGGGTATTATAACAACTAGCAAGGCCAAATGTAATGGATGTAGGGATTTAAATGTGTTTAGGATGGTGCCTAAAAAACATTCTCCAACACTATTGAATTTAATCTTTAACAAAAGGATGCTTAAGTGTGGGGACACACTTAACCTTAAAAGACTCAAGGATGATTCAATACTCATATGATCACATCAAAACAGTGAGCATGAGAGATGGAAACTTGAATGTGAGGTCGATTAACAAATAAGGAAATGAAAGATTGAATATGAGATTGATTCCCAAGCAAGGAATGGAAGCTTCAATGGGAGATCGATTCCTAAACAAGTAGATTTAATCTTGAATGAGAATTCAATTCCCAAACAAGGAGATTTAATCCTGAATGGGAGATCGATTCCAAAACAAGAAATGAAAAACATGAATGGAAGGTCGATTCCCAAACAAGCGGATTTTAGAAATTTATATGAGCAAGAAAACTTAAATGTGCAAATTTAGGTGAATACTCAATTGGGAGGTGGCTCTCAAATGAACAAATTTAGATTGGATACTCAAATAGGAGGCGACACCCACATGAGAAAATTTAAATGGTTAAACCATCAATTAACCATCATAATTGAATGAGAAAGGACAACACAAAGGGATTCACAGTTTTCTTAATCAAGTATTAAAGCATCAAGGAGGATATTTTTTTTGAGATTTAATGATTTGAAAGAAAGCGAAGCCACTAATTTATTCATTTTTAGCACATTTTGTGCATTTCTTTTTCTTTTGATTTGGCACGCTTTGTACATTTTTTTTGTTTTTTATGCACTTTGCGCATCTTTTAGTTTTCGTTGGCACACTTTGCATATCTTTTGATTTTTTGCACGTTTTGTGCATCTTTTATTTTTGGCGTACTTTGCACATCTTTATTTTTATAATTGGCTTCATTTCTAAAATATTTAAGAGAAAATATTCTCAGTTGTAAGATTATCTTTCAAGCATAAGAGAAGAAAATTCACTCTCTATACAAGAAAGAAAAATCTACAAGCAAACCCGATACTACGATAAAATTGAATAACTTGATTAAGAGAATTGTAATATAAATTCACAAACATGCTAATGATGCCAATGAGATATAAAATTGCAAGGTGGTATAAATGATTTTAATTTCTTAATCTAATTTTATTTTGAAATGGAGTTTAGTTTAAAACATGTAATCAACCCACACCAGTGGTGGGAGGGAGTGAATATAATATTTTCATTAGCAATGTTGATCATAATTTTTTTTTGATGTATTTAGAGTCAACTACTACTTTATAGTTTAAAGAGAGTAGAGGTATAATTTCCACTAAGAAAAATAAACCAACAATTCTCTAAAAAAATTTTTCTTTAAAATTTGCCTTGTATTTTAAATTTCAAACCTTTCTCAAATTAATTTTTTCTTTAATTTTAAAATTTTGCATATGTAAAATTTATGGGCTATGTTATTGAAAATAAATTTTGGATTTTTATTTGAAAAGATTTAAATAAAAAACCAGTCTAAAAGAATTAAGACTGGGGAGGTGATGGAAGTAATGAAATTTATATTTATTTGAAAAGAATATAATTTTGGATTTTGATTTAAAGGACTGATTTTGGACCCAATCTAAAAGAAATTAGACTTGGGGATTTATTGAAATTAGAACTTAGATCTGAATCTTAGAAAATGTAGTTTGATTTTGGATTGGAATTTAAACAATTTAGGATAAATGTCTTCCAAACTCAAATTTTTAATTAGATCTCTATATGTATTAAAAAAATGTCTAATTTTTGCTAAAGATGAAGAGAAGAGTCTATCTCTAGCAATGTCGCCAGAAAAATATGTGGAAAGTAATCTATATTGGCCACTTATTCATTTTAGTGTTTCTTTAAATAAATTAGCATAGCTAACATTAACTACCTTCAAGAATAGATTGATGCCACTCTATCGACTTGAGAAGATAAACAATTTATTTTCATAATCAAACTCAGTGCAGGGAATGTGGAATTCATCCCGAAGGATAAAATTCATATTATCCTATCATTTTAATTATGAAATTAATCGATGAATAAAATTTAGTCTGTGTCCAAAGATTCTTCAGCGGGTTCTAGACTCCCTATAGAGGACAAAATAAAACTTACTTTAATTTACTAAAGTAGGGCTAAAGTAGGGTAAGAATCTTTGGACGCAGACTAAATCTTATTCTTTGATTAATTTCATAATTAAAACAATAGGTGAATATGTATTTTATCCTTCGGGATGAATTCTACATTCCATATATTGAGTTTGATTATGAAAATAAATTGTTTCTCTTCTCAAGTCAAAAGTGTGGCATCAGTCTATCTTTCGAGGTAGTTAATGTTAGCTATGTAGATTTGTTTAAAGAAACACTAAAACGAATTAGTGATTAATATATATTATTTTTAATTTTGTCCACATGGATTTGCAGATGAGTTTGCTTTTCACATAACCCATAAGAAAGTCAACAACAACAACATCAAGCCTTTGTCCCACTATGTGGGGTCGGCTACATAAATCCTTTTTCGCTATTGTGTCCGATTAAATAACCCATAAGAAAGTGAAGTTGGTAAAATTATTGTAGATTGCATGAATGATAAGCATCATCAAATCTCTTTTAGAAGCTTCAACGAATGATTGAGTGCACACACACAAATGAACTCAATTTACATGCCCAATTTCGAAAAAGTGTCGAAGAACAATTGATTCGCAAATTAGCTTGTGGCGAGCCATTCAGGTAGTGGAAACCTACTGAGCATTAAAAATAGCTCATTAACTTGTTTCTCATAAAACCCACACTCTTGGGCACTTTACGTAAGTCCACAAATACATAAGGTGACTCATTAAATTTGTGGTGGCTTGTAAAGGCCAAAGATGAATTTTGATAATTTTTAAAAATTCAAGAGTAAAATTAAATTTGAAATATGTATATCATGGTGCTAATTATTATAGTAAATAGTGTTTCAAAAATATATGAAGTATTTTTATGCTTGTTAAGAGTGAATTTTACTTTTGCTTGAGCTTGAGAGGTTGCAAGCAAGATCAGAGTCTTTTCAAATAAGAAGAGAAAAGAATATAGCCTTGTTCTATAGCTTAATTGATTTGCATTCATCAGTCCTATGATATTTTACCTCATGAAACATATTTCTAGATACCTTCAGTAAGCTTAAATAATTCATTAGACCTTTCCAATGTGTGTTGGTGTTCATCAAAATTCGGTTCGGCAATTGTTTGGGCTCATAGGGTTAGCATTTTGAAACTTCTATATATTCATTCATATGAAATATTACGTGAGTTCTTTTGTACAAATTTAGCCATCTCATATTCAGTCTATCTATTTTTCTTGTTTAGGATTCCATATTAATTCCATTTATTTACCTTATTTGTTCAGCTTCTATTCTTTTTTGAATATGCGAAATGGCCCCAATTTCTTTCTTTTTTTTAATGATAGGTAGCACTTCCACCACATTTTCTATGTAATCACTTCTATTCCTATCCTTCTTTTACAATGAGTGAAATTATGCACCAATCTCCAATTTTGGCCTCACTGCAGTTTTCAAAAGCATCGTAGGAGCTGTTATATTTGGTGAGCCTTGTGATATTTTTCCGCATGGTTTTTTTTGATCTTTTTTGGTTTAATATATGCCAATATTTAGAAGTCCGCTTTATTCAACCTTGATTATGTATTGAGACTCATCCTTCTAGCTGCTATATGTAGTGAGCTTTTAGTGCATTTTATAATTATCATTTTGTTTGCCTGCTGGCAGAAGCTCAACAGTTTGCTTTAAAATTTCATTGACAGTTTTGATTTACTGCAGCTTGGGCCGTTGCATGTTGATAGATTAGACTTCAGTGATCACCATTCTATTGAACTAAATGTGAGTAACTTGTCTTGTTTGAGGTTACTTATTGTTTATAGATTCTTTGTTTAATTTGTTTTATTACAAATAAGGAAAAAGATCAAAATGGTCCCTTCTATTTATGAGAGATCAAAATGGTCACTAATTATGTTAAAGGACCATTTGGTCCATCAAATTCTTAAAAAGAAATCAAAATAGTCTGACTTTAATATAGCTGCGGATCATTTCGGTCATTCATAAAATGTCAATGGACTATTTTGACCTTTTTCTCATTACAAATAGTACACAGTCTGAAAGATTGGCGCAACACAAAAGAATGACATAATTTCTGGATATTTGCGTAGGATTTGTTTCATTAGATTTTAGCTAATCAGCGCTTGTTCTGGTAGATAGAGGAATTGATTCTGCGGAATGTTTTTCATTGGGATCGACATATGCCTTTTTTGCATTATAGACTTTCATGGGAGAATATTATCATGGGAGAATATTGATATGACATTGTAATAAATACAAAAAAATTGTGAAGTTTCAGGAGAGGATATTATCAATAAAACAATATTCGACATATGCCTTCATTAGATTTTCATGGGAGAATATTATCAACAAGGAGGATATATTAAGATAATAAATACAAAAAAATTGTATTATAAATTTGATTTATGTTATAATATTGATATGACAATGTAATAACTTTAATAACTCAAAATTTTCACAAGTTTTGGAAGCATAAAAAAGGATTTCACTGGTAATTTCATGGAGATCAAAATGTTTCTGTTTGCTACAACCCATTGAGGTATTTATTTGTTTATTTCTCATTTCTCTTTATGCAACAATTGATATGCATATATGTTAAATATTCGTAAAGCTTCACTTCCTAATAAAACATATATACAAAATTAATTTGGGTTTTTTTTTATGCTTAGTTGATCCAAACACACACGCTCCTACTTCTGATGGGCCACTTAAGGAAAGTGGACCCCATTTGTTTATTTTTTTGTATATTTAAATTTCAATGTTCATATCTCCTTTTTTTTGGGAAAATTTGAGGGTCACGTAGAGCCATTTCATAAGAGGTAGATATTACACTAAGAGGTCAGTGATGTTGTCTTTGAGGCGAATTGCATTACAAAAATTGAGGTAAAAACTTAAACAAAACAAGTATGGCATACCCAAAAGAAAAAAAACGGGGCTTATAAAGAAGAAATCACAATAAGGCATAAGATCCATCCGACAACAGTAATAAGAAGACGTGCTGAAATGGGTCAGCAATTAAGTAGTATCCTGTTGTCTTCGGCATCAAAGAAGCCAAATCATTGCTGGGTTGGTCATCAACAGAGTGCTTTTCATCCTTGCCCATCCGAAAACCACCCTAATATTTAACAGTTTGGTTCACCTTTTCCAAAATTTCTCATATTATCCGACCACCTTAAAACAAACACAAAAATTGGCCCAAGCTTAGAAACATTGCTCCAATGTTCCACGAGAGTTTCGGTCATGGTCCATAAACTAATTAAACAACTGACAATATCCAGTTTAGTATGGTAAAATGTCAATATTTCGAACACAAATAGACACATCTGTTGGTTCCAGCAAATTCTATGGACTGGAAAAAAGGGCCAACAGGGAGAACCACGAACCAATATGCGGACCATATCATTCCAAGAGCAAGCGTGCATCTCTTAATCTTTAAGAAGAGGGGTCTTATATATGCCATATGAAATATTGTATGGCGAACAAATCATGTTCGGGATGTTAGCTTAAAAGATACATTTTCTACATTTAAGGAGAATGGTAAATTTTGTTTTTTCCACGAGCAAGTTAAAAAGTGTTGCAGCTCTTCCGAAAATGATATAGTTCCTCTCATTCCAAATATAGAAACAGTAATTTGTGTAGCTAGGAGTAAGAGTATTTTGGTGATGTTATTGTTAATGGTCTCAGCATGATCAAGAATTTGGGCTAGATTGCACATATGTAAAAAATCTTCTAATGATAGACGACCATGTATAATATAATGTATGAGCAATAAAAAAAGAGATGATTATTCATTAAAGATTTTGCAAAAGGCACATTCACTATTGATCTTCATCCCTCTCGCCATCAATAGATCTTTGGTTTTTCAAGCCTTTGATAATGACCTTCTTCCATGCAAAAGTAGCAAATCTGATAGAACATTCTTTGAACTAAATAGACTTGTGCCAGTGAGCATGTGTTATTTGATTAAAGAGTAAGTAGCAAGCTCTCTTATGACAAAAGATTTCTTACGTTGCCACCACATGCTCTCCCCTTGAGTATTGATTTTTGATTGAGTTGATTTGTTTCAAACAAGGAGAGAGTCTTCTCTCATCCGTAGTAGGGAGTTAACATTATTTTTGCAAATGATGTCTTTAACTTTAGCGAATAATCTCCTATTGAAGAAGTTACAGTTATTCAAGCCCAAAATTTTAGAACTGGCTGACCCAACTCTTATTATTCGTTGTGATCTTGAATGAAATCCATCGTCAATTGACGAGAAATCTCTAAATGGGGTAAACTCTACTAGCAAGGTTATATTAGAAAGATCTATAAAAGTTGAGGTATCAAGTAAGAGCTGTAATTGTAGATCCTCTATATCATTTTGAATATGGATGTCGTATTCAACACTTAAAGGGACAGGAGTTCAGGACCTTCCTTTTCTTTAAGGATGAAAGTGGGGTGCCCGGAGATAGTGTTGAGCTTGCTCTCGTTAACATTGTGATGTAAAAGTTTGGACCCATGAGAGGTGATTTTATTTAGAACTCCTTTGGGGATTACAGCTGCTCTGATCCTATATGAGATGTAATTCGGATAGTAGATTTTATGAACTATAAGCAGGTAACAAATGAAGAAAGTGATTCTTCCGTCCTCATAACCAAGAGCAGATTCTATTGATGATGTGGAAGCATTGATTCATTTTAAATTTGGAGCTGGAGATAGAGATATTGATGCCTAGATATTTTGAAGGCAAGGGATTGCTCTATATATTGAGCATCTCTGTCAGAATATGTGAAGTAGTGGGGTTGACTGATTTGGAGAAACATAAGAATATTTATTTAGATTGACGCTGAAGCTTGAGATAGTGGCAAAATAATTGAGTGTTATGAAGGCATTTAATATTCTGGGGGTTGGCCTCATCAAATATGATTAAATCGTATGCATATATATGATGAGAAATATGTATATTATTATGCGAGATACCTTTGTAGTTGTCAATGAGAATACACTCCAAAAGGTTAGATAGGATTCCCATTACAATGGAAAAATGAAGGAGAGGGGACAAGGGGCATCCTTATTTGAGACTAGAGGAAGTGGTGAAATAACCATTCATCCCACTGTTGATGATAACAGAAAAACAAAACACCTTCCATGCAAGCTGAAATCCACTTCTCAAACTTGAGAGTAAGGGCGTTTTTGTGCAACTCGTTGGATAATTGTATTGTGAGTCTGTGACTAATACTATCAAAAGCTTTTTGAAGGTCTACTTTGACATAAAAGTACTTGGGAGGATTGATATGGTTAAACTCTTTGAGGAGCTCATTTGTTAAGGCAGTATTGTTTGATATGTCTCTTCCTTGAATGAATGCTGATTGGAAATTGTGAATTATATGAGGAAGAGCCAATTTTAGCTGCGAGGTCATCAATTTAGCAATGATTTCATATAGCTGCGAGGTCATCAATTTAGCAATGATTTCATAGACGGTGTTTCAAAGAGATATGGGTCTATTATCATTTAGTATATATGTGCGTAAATATTTAGGGGTAAGAGTAATGCGAAGTATTTAAGCTTGTGAGGCATATGATTAGTATAAATGAAGTTTGTAACAACTTTAATGAGATCAAGCCTAATGATATCCCAAGTAACAGCAAAAAATTGGGAGCTAAAGGCACCCGAACCTGCACATTTATTTTCATTAATACTCCATACCTTATCTTTAATATCGGAGTAAGGGAAATCAGAAGCCAACTGGAAGTTTTAGGGTCAAGGATGTTACTAGCAATTGTATGCTGCAATGAATTGTTGACCCTATCCTTATTGTTCAGTAGATTATATATGTGAGAGATAGTGGCTTTAGCAATGGATTCTTGAGTGGCTAACAAACTGGTGGACCAACTGAGTTGGCTCAACTAATCAACCTGGCCCTAGCAAGGGAGGTGCCAGTCTAGCTGGCAGGCTGAAGAGCCTTGGGGGCCTCGCTAGTGTGAGAGGCGGGTAAGGAGAGAGGGGGGTTTAAATGGTATTAATTCTACCTTTAAGTACTTATCATATAAAACCGAAATTGGGAGCGGATTAGGAAAGTTTATGTAAGGAAAAAAAGGTTGATTTGAATTCAGATTTGGGAGGGAATTATGAAGGTTTATTTAGGGAAAGATGACTGATTTGAATTCAGATTTTGGAGGGAATTAGGAAGGTTTATTTTGGATTAATTAGGTTGTTTTATTTTCGTTAGGGGATTTTATGTTTTGCAGGAGTTTACTTTGGAGTTGTTCCTGTTGGCGAATAGGATTTGTGGAGAGTCGTTCTACCTCTCAAATAGTAGATTAACTTGTATCTTGATTTGTTGTGCCGATATCAATAAATTAGCCCATTATCTCATTCTTTCTAACGGATTTTGGTTGGTACATTTTGTTTTTTGAATGATCCATTTATTCTCAAATATCAGATGCTGTTGAGTTTGATGGGAACCTTGAAGGATGGTGTTGTTTTCTAGGGATTTGCAAATTTTCATTCTGCTTTTGTTCTTAAGAGCCTATTTAAGATTCTAAAGCTTGTTGCACATTTGAAAAAGTGGATTCCTATGGACTGAAATATTCCAAGCTTTCTTAATCACATATGAAAAATTTGCACAGTAGCTCCTATAATTTTTGTAGAGAAAGCGATGAGAGATGTTGGCAAAGTTTCCAATTCTAAAAATAATAGGGAAGTGGTTTGAAGAGAGAGGAACAACAATTTTGTGATGTGAGCCGGGAAGATGCCTAGTCCATTGCTTGTTGTTGAAACATCTATTCAAAAGACATCTGATATGATTTTTTTGGTGGTTAAAACCAATTGAAAGTAAGGCCAATGTTTGGGAGTTCAAACCAGCTAGCCTTATCTATGCTGTAGTTTAAATTAATCATTTTTGAGGGATGTGGTGGCGTTCCACTAATTTTTAATTAAAGCCTCCCATGATGATCCAAGGCTTAGTAATGGAAGAAGCATGGTTGATGATAGTGTTCCAAAGTGCTTTCCTTTTACTAGCACCATTATGTGCATAGATGAAAGGAATGATGAAGCTGATTAAAGAAGAGTAATTATTCCAGCTATGTATGAGTTGCGAGTGTGTGACTAGAGGGGTGACTTTTAATGTGCTTATATTTCACTTGACCACCTTCTAGCGTAAAAGTTGCGTTGGTTGTTTTCTTGGTGGAACATCTGATAGTTCTCGAGTAGAAAGAGGTTTGAGATGGTTGAAAGAGACAATTTGGTTTCTAGGAGGCAGACGGTTGCGACCTGTTAAGGGGAATATAGGGTATTTTAGGGTTTGTAGGACTTATAGCTTTGGGGCGGTTTGTACGGTCGTGAGCAAATCTGTCATAGGAGGAACAAACAGTGGGCTGTCATTCATAGAGAATAGGTTGAATAATGTCTTTTTTATTGATGTTAATTGGTGTATGGTTTGGAAGGGGAGAGGATGTGGATATTTGAACGCCTACACAGGCATAAATTAGCTTGAACTTTTTAGCTGTCTGAGAGTCAACAGTAACTGGGTTGCCATTTTTGCTTACGATCTTGCTATCTTAGAGATCTCTTTTTCATTCCGCTGTAAAGGGGAAGGTTTTGGAGCTTTATCTATATCGGGATTTTTAAAAAATTTTGACGGGGAAAACTGTAATAATATGTATTTTGACTTTGTCAATTTTTTTCTAAAGTCATTATAACTCCAAATCGCAATCCGTGTTCGCCATAGTATTTTTATTATAGTATTTTACTTGCACGAATTTTTTCGTAATTTTTGGACACCGGCGAAAATCCTTAAGGAATTGGTACTTATCGGTACAAGTGAGGATTTCGGGACCGTCAGGTGTCCGTTTTGCAAACCGATTTTATCGATATTTTTTAAATATCATGATTTGTTTTATGGATATTTTTTCCTGTAATTTATAAATGAATAATTCTTCCAATTAAGATTCTGGGTCATCACAAAAACTCTGCTGACCTTTTTTTGGGAAATGTAAGATCTACTATTAATGAACCAGAGTCCCTCTTGTAGAACCATCTCCATGTATTTTGTGCATGAAAACTTGAATAAAAAATAAACTTCAGCTAAAGATAAGAGATACCTGTGAGTTGACTTAACTTGCTTAGAACTTAGCGAACATAGGAAGTGCATAGTTGTTGATTTAGTACTATTTTTAGTGGCTTGCATACACTGATCGCAGCGAACTATCTAAATTGTCCATTTTATCTTAAAATCCTGTATTAAAGACCTCTATTCCTATCTTTGTTGATAGGATATCAATCTCATCAGAAAAATCCTCAGGCGTCTACAGATTAGATTTGGCGTCGAAGTTATTGTACTCATCACAGAGAAGGTATCAGTCATTACGCTAATTGGCTTTTATTGATACAATCTCTCATTACTGAAATTCTGATAGATGTGCTTTTTTGTTTTTTATTTTATAGGATTATGATCGTGACCCTAATATTCTGAGAGAGGTTGATGATTTCCAAATCATGGTCCTTTGTTCTTCACTACAAATCATGCCTTTTGAGGATCGAACAGAAGAGGATTTCAGAATGAATCTGAAGAAGCTTCTGCTTTCAACCTGAGTATGGTATGAGATGCTCGTTTCGTGTTTTGCCGAATTTAAGATTCAGCTTTTTTATTGATTTTTAAAGCAGTTTTTTAGTATAAAATTTTTTGTACTAATAAGCTATTTAAAACAAACAGTAAGAAAGTAATCCCAAACGAAAACCTAAGAGAGCAAACGAGAAACACACGTGGCCCTACTTTTTTTTTTTTTTTGATTGGAAAATCAACTAAAATTATAACATGTTTATAATTTGTTCTTGGATTTTTATTATAATTTTGTGAGCAATGAACGTTTGTATTATGTAAATAATAAGCGAAGTCCTAAAACAATTAATTTCCACAGATGACTCGGCTCAACTTATGAGCTTAGAGAAACACTCAGTTATTGATGCTCTCTTATTGATGAGAAATTATTCTGTGGACACCAGATGGAGAGAACCCACTGAATTTGCATGAATGCATTTTTATTATATTTTTGTTGCTTTTTGTAAAAGCATAATAAATATTTAATTATTTAGTAAATATTAAATATTTTGTTGCTCTTTTATTGTCTTTTTGCAAAAGCAAAGCAAAATGATAGTAAATACTCAACAAATTCGTATGATTCTCTCCGTTCGGTGCTCGCACAGAATAACCTTATTGACATTGCAAGTGTTTATACTTGTTTGATTTTGGTTCATGACCCAAAATTTTATATTTCTATGATAATTATATTTTTAGCAATTTTGAACTAGCTTGGGCTTAGGTTCTTATGATTTTGGAGAAGTTGATTTGCTTCAACATTCTCCTTCATATTCTTAGAAAGTTATACTTGAATTGCATATTATGTAATCTTGCCTTCTTCTATTGGATTAATTATTCTGTGCGGACACCGAACGCTCTCTGGAGACCAACTAAAATGTGTCACAACATCTTGTGCTCGGTATCGCTGACGTGACACATTCTGATTGGTCTCTGGACGGTGTTCTGCACCCGGTCTCCGCACAGAATAATTTCTCCTTCAATTGAGTGAAAGAAAGGACTTGTTACGTATTTATAAAGTGTATCAATTCATACGAACCAAGACTCAGAGCTTTTTTTTTTTTTTTAAAATTTTTCATATGAATTAAAGTGTCCACTATATTCTTTTTGTGCATATTCTTTTATGTAAAAAATTAGGACGTAAAAATCTCTATTATTATGAGCTTTCTATGTTGAACAATTTTTACTCAGATATATATAGTGCCTTTGCCATCTTTAAAACTTCAAAATATTATAAAGATTTTAAATTAGAGATTATTGGAGCATGAATAATGTTTAAAATAAATAAATGAAGCATTATATGACAAATGTTTAATATTTCAAATATTTAATCAAAATAATTTTTTATTGCAAAATTTTTATAACCAATCAGTATTCTTTTTTATTACACTAAAAGTTATATATGTTCATTTTATATCACATAAGTCCTAAACAATTTGTCACGGGTTTGCAGTTTATGATTTTCCAAACCTTTCGGAATATATTAACGATAAAAACTTATAAAAGCTGTTTAATTTCATGCACACTTTTAGGTGCCATTGTCGCAGGAATTGAGAGCTGATTTGTAGTCGGTCCGATATTTCGGAGGCAAAGCGTGTTTCATGGCGGAAAAATGGGCCTCCTCTTGCGAAAATAAGTCAATTTCTCCCAATCGGGCGAAAACCAGAAGTATGGAAGATTTCCAATATGGATCAAACGAGAGATTATTAGGTGCGGAGTGCGGACGGGGAGAATCGTCCGCACAAGCATTGGGTACCTAGCGGTGCCCGCACTCGGTACTACTGGGTACCGCTGGGTACCGCTAGGTACCCAGTACTTGTGCGGACGGTGCGCACTCCGCACCTAATAATTTTTCGCATCATCAAAGACCCCCAATGGCCGCTGCGTATTTGGATCACATGAAGGCTGGAAAATAAATAGAACTTTTTTTTTTTAGAGAATTAAGGGACAGTGTTTAGACTCACACATAACATATATTATGTTCAAATTCAAAACTTTTTGGTTGGTAGTCAAAACACTCAACCAACAGACTAAGGAGAGCTGCATAAATAACAATATTTTACTTGCCCGCACCATCATTTTAACAAAAAAAAATAAATAAGGTAATTTTTTATAGCATTAATTACGACTAAGAATTAAACGGGTTAGATGAACTTGAAAATCATACTCATGTTGCTTATCTTGATCTGTTGATTATGAGTTTTGACTATCAACCAAGAAGTCTTGGGTTTGAAACTTATGTATGTGATGTGTGTGTGAGTTTATCTTAATTTGCTCAAATGTCCAAAAAAATGGACCTAATGGTTAGAGAGAAGGTTCTCAACCAATCAGTCACAACAATTCAGCTGAAGCAAAGTGCTTTTTTTTGGAGACTTCTGAATGAACTGAATGCAAACTCACACACGCAAAATATGTACAAGCTTCAAACTCAAGACCTCTTGATTGATAGTCTAAATCAAGGTGGACTACAACAAAAGTATAATTATTATGGGTATAGGTTGGGCGCATGACTGTGAGTTTTTCTCTTGGCTTGTATTTGGTTGAAATTAAGATTAAATCTACTCAACATTTTAATTTTTTTACTATATTATATAAAATGAAAAAATGGCACCAAAGAGTGTTGGAAAAGCAACATAACTCAGGAGGAAGAAAAAAAGTTGCCTAAAACTAACATAGAAAAACTACAAAAACAATAAAATTGGGTGGAGGATAAATTGAATCAAAAGCTATCTCCTACTTAAAGAGTTATATTTGTCATAAAAAATGATGTAGAGCATTCTGATATTCTGCAGGACTATCATACCACTTAAGCATAGGCCACCACTATGACAGCACCGTTATACCTTTTCCATTTCAGTTATTATAGTACATAGGGATACTAATGACAATTACTAGCTTTTATAGTAAAGATGTTAACAACACCTTTTATAAACTATTTATTTACAAAGAGATAGGTATTGAATACAAGCAAAGTTTATATCAGAGTACATGTTCTATGCTCTTTGTATTTGCTTGCTTTCTCTGTAGGCCCTTTGTCGGCTATCACATCAGGTTGGTATCAGAGCATGGTGCTCGCGAGGCATGACAGTGATGTGGCCATCCTCATCATCCATTCCCTGTAGCCAGATACGTCACACTACCTCTAACAACCCACTATCCTTACTGCTACTTTTACCTTTTTAGCATTAGCTTACTGTCCTTCTTTTATAGTTTGCTTACCTCTAATATAGTAATTAGCACTAGCCTTAGTAGCAGAGTTATATATTGTAATTAACGGAGAAGAAAGGTAGAATACGATAGTCTTCTTCTTCCAGGTTAGTTATTCCTGAGTATTTGTTGCTCTGATTTTTACCTTGCCGCTAGTGACTACATTAGACAGAGGGTCGAAGACGTGCTAGCAATGATGAAAACTATAGCCTGGAGGCCTTGTTGGCAGTACTTGGGTATGGCTCGTCAGTTTGCTGATCTAGCTTTGGAGTTCTGCTAGTTCGTTGGGATTTACAGCTCCTCAAAAATGGTTCAGGATTATAGCCGTCGCCTTGAGCAATGTATCCATCAACTATATCGGCTGTGCGACAGGAACAATTTGTAAATAGGGAGATGAAATAAAATCATGTCCGAGGTCATGAGTTATCATATTCAAAAGATGAGTTGGGAAACCCAACATATGGAGAGGCGACCCATTTATAAAACGAAGAACATTTTGGAGATGCGTGCATGCGTAGGCATCTAGCATGGAATGTATATCCTAACGTATATCCTTTGGTACTGTCATCCAGTACAAAGTGTATCCTGGAGTATGTTCACACATATAGTTGCGATTGTTTGTTGTGTGATTTTTATTCTGCTGTGATTGTTTGCACAACATTTATCTCTCTATCTGTTTCTCTCTCAAGCAAAATCAAGCGTAAGCCAAGTGAATTAAAGTTGAAGGTGTTGGTGATCAAAATCTTAATTATCAATGAGAACTGTTAATTAAATTATACTCTCGATAATGATCGAGAAATTTAGTAATCGTTGTTTATGTGGGAATTTTGATGTTCATTACTTATGAAAAAAATATACATTCATTACTCGACAATATATGTGAATTCAGTATTTGTTCATTCATATATGAAGTTGTGAATAATCAAAGCAAAGAACTGTGCCAAAATTTTAAAACATAAAGGTCAAGAACTATAATTCAGTATTTGAAATATCATTAGTTTTTATATTTTAAAATTTCAAGAAACAAAATGGGAGTTTAGAGCGATCCCATTAATTACTTTTATTTTTCATAAATTCGATTTATTTATTTATTTTGAATTATCTGGCTTCACATGTCTTATGATAGAAAAATTATTCTGTGCAGTTATCGTACGATCCGAAGGTGAATCAGGATACGCCACATCACTCAGTACATAACAATACACAAATGATGTGACACATCATGATTCGTCTCTGGACACTGTTCGGTGACCGCATAGAATAATTTCTCCTTATGATAGCGAGTCAAACCTACTCTTCTAAGAAATAAATGGCTTGTTAGAGTCACACCACCACCCCTTTAAGAAGAAAACTGAGTAACAAAGCCAAGTTGGCAAAGGCAGAACAAGCAAGTTTCGCGTTTTGAGAAAAAAAAGTGAACTTTTAACCTTACACGGCAGACATGAGACATCCATGCTCTAATGAATGCCTTCGAGTACAAGTAAATACAAGAAAAAATCAATAAGTATCCACATAGAAATTAAGTTAAGAAATTAAGAAAGTGTATTATATACTAAAAAAATATTTAAGTTAATCAAATCATAATTTATAATTATTCTATCTATATTGATTGCTTGAAATCACCTATAGATGTTTAGGGTCTATTTTGAATAGTTTTTTCACTGTTTTATTTTTCAGACTGTAATTAATAATTCTGTTTTGATTAATGCTATCTTATAATTTTTCGCTCTTTATAGAATTTTATGTGGTGGGAAGCTGCTTTTTACAATCAGATTTTACAATATGTGGTAGCTTTAAGCAAGAAGATGTATGATTTTTAAAAAAGAACATATTAATAGTATCTACAATGACTTTCAAACAAATTATTTTTTCTGCAACAGATTCATAATTATCTTTATAAAACACTGCAGTCGTCCCAAAGAGATCCTTAGTGTTCATCAGCCATGTAATTTCCTTAGATTGATAATGGACAAATTCCTAACAACACTGGAAAATACTTGTGAAGAGGCTCACATTTTGTATTAGGGTTCTCTTAACTTGTTTACAAATAGTACACTATGACTTCTAACACAAGTGATGCTCTATATTTATATTATTAAATTTTCGTTGA